GTAGGAGGCGGTCTTGCAAATAACTAGGTCCATTGCCATGGAGCGCTTTAAAGGTTGTTACTAACACCTTGAAGCGCACCCGGAAGGCCACAGGCAGCCAGTGCAGCTCGCGCAGGAGAGGTGTTACATGGGAGTATCTAGAGGCCCCCAGGATCCCCCGCGCGGCCGCATTCTGAACTAGCTGGAGCCTCCAGGTGCATCTCAAGGGGAGCGCCATGTAGAGAGCGTTGTAATAGTCCAGGCGGGAAACAACGAGGGCTTGAGTGACCGTGCATAGAGCGTCACGATCCAGAAAGGGGCGCAACTGGCGTATCAGGCGAACCTGATGAAAAGCCCCCCTGGCCACGGCTGTCATATGGTCATCTAAAGACAGCCGAGTATCCAGGAGGACGCCCAAGTTGCGGGCCCTCTCCGCGGGGGCTAATGACTCGCCCCCGATAGCCAGGGATGGAGCCAACTGGCTATGTCGTGACGCCGGAAACCACAGCCACTCGGTCTTGGACTGGTTGAGTCGAAGCCTGTTCCTCCCCATCCAGACTCGCACGGCCTTATAGATAAAGGATTGGTTATAGAAGTTAGTGTTACTGTTTTTAGCCCTATAGGGAATGAAGAGGTGGTATAATGCTATCACACACTTAACAGACTACAGTAGTTTTATATACACTGAGAAAAAAATATGTGTAATTCACTTTAATGCAATATTGTGTTTTATTAATGTTTTATTGCAGTAGTCTGGAACTGAACCCATAAACATACACACATATATATGTATTATATATTTATATATATGTTTGTGTGTGTGTGTGTGTGTGTGTGTGTGTGTGTGTGTGTGTGTGTGTGTATAGACACACTATTCCTTTGCTGAGCTATTGAAAGTGGTATTTTAGATAGCTTAAAAACAACTGGTAAGCTGCAAACCTAAATGAATTGTTCTCCACTCCTTTTGGAATTTTGGTAGGACACTTTGAAAGCAAAAGAAACAAGCTTCTCCCCTTTCTATCCTGAACAATGTACCCCAGTTCAACTTTTGAAGTACTTATTGCTGAGATGCAGAGCATAGTTATATCCAAGAAAGTAACCAACTTTATTAGGGAGATGTCTGAACAGTGATTTTGACTCCAGAGATACATTCTGGTATTGGGGTAAGGGAACTTCACAATTTTGAGATTTTAGTCATATTATAGTCTCAAAAAAACACCTTATGCTTGAAAAGCAGATCCAATTGAAGGATGAAGCTTTGCAGAAAGATGTGAAATTGCTTAAAACAGTAATGGAATCACACAGAAAGGATTAACTGTTTAGAAGACAAGCAACAATAACAAAAACAACAACAACACACAAGCAGATAACCTGCCAAGAGGAATGAGATCAGACTGAAAGTCAAATACGGTAAATTGCAAGTGCTTGGGCATGCTGAAGTTCCTGTATGTATAAGACAAATGAGATAATATTTTCCGGTTGCCATAGAAAATTCTATCAAAACTTGTTTCAAATGAAACATGGACATTTTTGGGGACACTGCTTTAGAATCCAAGATAAGTCATGATGTCAAAAGCTGTTTTATTCTTTTTCTCACATTTCTTTCCTTTTCTCCCATTCTTATAACTTTTGATTAGAAACCTTATTAACTCTAGCTCAGATTCACAGCTCATTAAGACAAAAAGATAAGTCTGGCTATAGTGTAACCATGCAAAAATAGTTTTCTTTATCATTTTTCATCTCATGTTCCTTTTTTTTGTTTTCTCTCCTTTTGTATATTTGCAGCCTGCCTTTTTGAATGAATGGTTTTTGCAATAATTTTGCAACTGAGAATAGAGGGAAAAATCTAGAAATCAGGCAAAAAGCAATTAGTCCTCAATTTATAGAATTCTACTGACATTTATATTTTATGAATGCAGTAATGCCTATTGGACAGGTAGAAAACTTTTTAAACTGAATATTCCAAAGATTTTTGATGTTCACTCAAGAGACTTGTTTATTTGTATATCCAGTAGTCTTTGACTTATGATCGCAACTGAGCCCAAAATATCTGTTGCTAAGCAAGATGGTTTTAAGTTAGTTTTGTCCCATTTTAACCTTTCCTGCCACAGTTGTTAAGTGAATCATTGCAGTTGTTAAGTTAGTAGCACGGTTGTTAAGTGAATCTGGCTTGCCCATTGACTTTGCTTATCAGAAGGTCGCAAAGGGTGATCACATGACTGTGGAACACTGCAATTGTCATAAATATATGCCAGTTGCCAAGTGTGCCATGAATTTTGATCATGTGACCATGGAGATGCTTTCATGTGGTCATGTGAAAAACAGTCATAAGCCAGTTTTTTCAGTGCCATTGTAACTACAGGAAAAAACCTATCTCCATATCATTAGATATACATAATAATCTTTCAAAAGAGACTTTTCCTCATAATATTGTGGGGCTTATTATGAAAACAGTACAGGAGTCTATAAGTTATATTAATTATCCAATATCCTAAAAATAGCACTACTGGGTCTTGAGCCTTTCGGAACAGGGCCACGGAAGTGGAGGGTCAGTATGCACATCCCCACTTGCGCGAGCAGTGGTTGGCTGGGGCCGTGCTTCATTACACAAATGAGTTACGCATTTGCCCTCCACGCACACAGAACCATCCCTCCCCCAACCCAAGCTGGTCCACAAAGCCGAAAAGATTGGGGAATTCTGCACTAAGTCTTTGCCTGCTATATTAACACAATTATATATTATCATTAATAATTCATCCTGTATGTTATTTTTGTGAAAGGATGACAGTTCTCTGGTAACATTTATACTGTAACTTATTTTCATAACACAAAAAAAATAATTTTGTAAGATGCAGAAGCTTTTGATGCTGCAAATTAACTTTTTGCAAGATATGAGAAAAGGGAATTTCATCTGATTTTTTTTATTGGGTAAAATCCAGCTCTTCTATTTGGATAGTTATAAATACACGTATTATTTTAAAAATCCAGCTTGTTATTAAATCACTCAGCTAGAAACAGGGAAATCTTCTGACAGAATGGTAGAATATTACAAAAGAGGTGCCTCAGTCCAGAAAATGTAAAAACAAAACAAAACAACTGCCCCTTGACTGGATTAGGTATAGTTTTGACTTTAAAAACTCTTATTTTAATTACTGGATATAAAACCAAAAAGTCAAGCAAAGAAATAAACAGTCCAGCCACAACCATTGCAGGTAAGCAATAAAAAGTGCCAGATTCAGTCAAGGAAGAAACAATGTCCTTATAAAGGTACCATCAAGGAAGACACCCAACCCCAACAAAAACTAGCAGAACAAGTTATTATATATAAAACAGCAAATTCTACACTTCCATGAAGTATTGAGGTTACCAAACCTGGAAATTAAAACAGCCAACTCAAGAATACTAACAACCTAACAGTTCAACCATGAGCTACACATATTCTCAATAATTGGAATACCTTAACTATATTAAATTACATTCAAAGACTTCTAGCCACTCATTTCATACTTCTAGCAAAGAACAGTTTACCAATTCTTGAGCTGCTACTTAACCATTAGGAAATCCCAACTTTACCTAAATGTTAATGAGAACTAAATGTATTCAGCTATTTCATTTATATCATGTATGTGGAAATATTATTGCCTGATCTAAATAATATAAAGTCAGATGATGGATACAAGATCCATCTGAGAACTCAAGCTAACTCGGGAATATAGAAGGTGGCTATATTTACTAATACAATATTCACAGAATTTATAAAGTTCAGTGTTTAAAATAATGTATATCTACCATCTGCACAGGCAATTATGCTAACTGGGCATGAATAATTTCCCCTCTTCCTTTACAAATGCAATTCAATACATGTTCATAAAATCAAACATACCTTTATTTGTACTAGGAAGTCCCGAAGATGTTCCTTGAAAGCAGGAATATCCTGATTTAAACTGAAGAGTCCTGTTACAAACAGTTTAACCTGTGCACTAACATAAAAAAAAATAATCAGAGGAATTAGTTTATATGACGGCTGTGTGCATATAAATTTTAACCTGTGTTTGGAAATCAAGCACTTACTCTTGTAGGTGAGGAAATGCAGATTTAAGAAGATTAGCAACATACTCCTGAATAAACATTTGGTTGTTTACTGGATTTCCAGGGTTTAGGGGAGTATTTATTTTTCCTTCTTCTACTAAGTTGAACATGTATGCAAGAATTGATGCATGCATCGTCAAACCTGATTAGAATATACAAATTAGAGTTAATATTTGTAACTGATATGGGTTCTACTTGTAGCAAATTTTTTCGCATTTCCCACCTCAGGGTTCAATTCCTACCAGCAGTATGAGATGTGTCTGTTACAACAGAAAATATGTGTTGAAGAATGTCACAGAAATAAGTTTGATAAAAGCTCTGAGCAGCAGCTTCTTCTTGTGCAACATTTTGTAAAAGTGTATAAAGGATCTGAAGGCCTGGGAAAAAACACAAAGCAAAGTCATTCTAAAATGTTAATGTTTGCAGATAATTACATTTTGACAAGACTTGAACAGATAACAGACTAAAAAAGTTCCATATCTACATGCTTCTAAACCGTTATAATTTAGATTAGGATAAAGCAAATTCACCTGTATCTGCAACATTTCTCATTGTATGCTTGAAAGCCCAAATGATAGAATCCAATACTAGCTTGAACTGTGCAGGTGGAATGGCCAGGAACGCTGGAAAGCAATGGGAGTTTACTGCTTGTAGTAATAAAAAAAAGTTTGTTCTGTGTTCAGGATACTCTTCAAAGTCCTAAGGGAAAAAAGAGATCCTTTTACATGCAATTCCAGAAACTTCCTTACTTGTAAATTTTTATTGAGTCAAACAAATAACTTCTTCATCTTATGACACTATTGAAATACACAAGTCAAATTTTCAAATGCCTCTCCAGAGAAATATCCCACACTTGTCCCCCAGACCAGGGTAGAAAAACATCACAACCTCCAAAACACATCAAAAACCTTCTTAAATAAAGTATCAATTTTCAAAGTGGAGTCAAATGCCTTTCCTGTAAAGAAATTGGTACAGGTAGTGCTCAATGTATGAACAAAATTGAGCCCCAAATTTCTGTTGCTAAGTGAGACAGTTGTTACATGAATTTTGCCCCTTTTACAACCTTGCTTACCATAATTAAGTGAATCACTGCAGTTGATAAGTTAATAACACAGCTGTTAAATGAATCTGGCTTCCCCATTGACTTTGCTTGTCAAAAGGTCACAAAAGGTGACCACTTGACCTGGGACATAGCAACTGTCATAAATATGAGCCAGTTGCCAAGCAGCTGAATTTTGATCACATGACCATGGGGATGCTGTAATGGTAGTGTCAAAAACAGTCATAAAAGTCCCCTTTTTAGTGCCATTGTAACTTTGAACATCACTAAACGAATGTTTGTAAATTGAGTATTACCAGTAGTTTGTTTTCTCTAGAAATATATGAAGATCACTCCAGAAATCATGGAATATAAAATCAATGTACTTTTGTAGAATTCAAAAAGTTTCATACCACATTGACTTCCTGAAGCACACAACCTTTAATAAATAGTAATGTTCCTGAAGTATCTATTGGCTGTGCCTCAGATTGCTTTTGTAAGTGAACTGGAAAGCTACTGAAGTAGCTATTCTCAAAAATATCCCCAAGACTTTACAAAGTCCTAAAAGTTCTTTGCAGTTTCTAAAATCCTGTACAAAGTAAAATTCAATGCCCATCTGCATTCCAATTATGTTAGATCTTTTCTTATAGCAGAAATTAGGGCAAGAAATGATAGCGATGTTTATCTTTTCTCTTTAACCTGAACGTGAAGACAGGTTGAGGCCTATGGTCATGATTTATTTGAAAAATGTTTAAGATATAAGGAAAGAAGTCTTAGCTACAAAATCCACCTGGTCAAGACAGTCACCATTAGAAATATTAGACAAATTCCAGGATAAACTAATTACTGGTTCAAATAGCAAAGCCGTGAGTCCTACCAGTTTAGATTCCAGTTAGACCATCCAGCAACTCTTATTCAATTTATACAGGTAGTCCTCAACTTACAATAATTCATGTTATCAGCTATTCACAGTTACAATGGCACTGAAAAATGTGACATAAACTAGTCCTTGCTCTTACAAGTGTCAGTGTCCCCATGGTTAAAATTTGGGTGCTTGGCAATTGGCATGTACTTATGAGGATTTCAGTATTTTGGGGTCATATAATTGCTATTTGCTACCTTTCCCAGAGGACTTCTGAGAAGCAAAGTAGATAGGTCAAGCTAGAATCATTTCACAACCACAGAGATCTGTTTAACAATTGTAGCAAAAAGATAATAAAGTTGGGCACAATTCACTTAACAACCACATCACTTATCAACAGACGTTCTGGTTCCAACTATGGTTATTAAGTTGACTACCTGTAATAAATTCTATTGTAATCTGAGGAGAAAATGCACCTCTTTCCCTTTGTCCCTATGGTAGAAGGTAGTCTGGATTCCAAGGAGGCAGCGGCTGCATTCCAGAGGGCAAAGCAGCAGCCAAGCATGGAAAGTTTGGTCAGGAAAAAGGGAACAATGTACCTGCAGTAAATAAAAGTACTGACCCTAGATCTAAATCAAGTAAGGTCTGGTTTGTACTTGAAGACCAATAAAGTGCTCTTATCTATAGACTACACTGAAAAGTCATAATTCGGGGCACCACACAATTGAACTCAACTATATGTCTGTTTTTATGACAACTGTTGAACCAGTTGTCATTAAATGAACCATGTGGTCCAGAAGTGCAAATCAAGTTCGTATTAACTTCAAATGGTTAAGCAACCAGTCCTAAGTCAAGGACTACCTGTACTATTACCAAAGAGAATTACATGGGTTTATCTATGACAAAAAACTCATTCAGAGAGTGTTTTTATGTTTTTATTTTGACTTAATTACAATAAGACACAGAGGCAGATTCATGGCTGATGGCAAATTTAGAATTGTAAACTGAAAAACTATACATTTCATTTTTCAATAATTAACATTACTCTCCAATTATGTATTTGTTCATTTTCCTCTTTAGTGATGTGTAATTTTATAATTTGGTAAGAGATTTTGGAGTTGTTGGGAGCCACAACCAAAGCTGTTTGGGTTAATCAGGTCAGCTTGAGGCATCAAAGTATACACCTCTAGTTAAACGGGATGAGCCAAATGTCACCTAGAATTTTGAGAAGGAACTTAGAAGAAGCAAAGGTTCTGAGAAGCAGTTCTTAGTGCAAAGAACAGAAAGTGACTGTAAGTGGTTTCAGAAACTGAGAGATCTTTGAATGACTGAGAACACATTAATTGAATCATTACGTTTAGAAATTCTAGCTGGTATTAGAATATAAGTGCAGTAAGATATGAAGAAGAGTCTTCTGCACTTGCAAAGTAGGATTTAAAAAAGTCTCTGTGTGTGCCCAATCCATGAGCAGAGGAAGCCAGAAAAATACTTTAAGGAGAGTAGTCATAATATAAAATATGCAGTATCATATTGTTAATGTGGAAAAAACACATGAAATTAGGATGCAAAGGACATAGAAAATAAAGTTACACATGAAATTGATAGGATGAAGGGGCAATAGATAAAGAAAAGTGATTACTATTATAGTTGGTTGCGTCAACACATTACTAAAAGCTATGGGAAATGAGCCTATCTAGGAATAAATTAGGAAAACAATAAAACCAATACAGAATTCCAGCTCTGCCTCCAAAGGAAAAAAAAGCCCTTCACTGAAAATCAGTCAAACTAGTTTGTATAAGCCAGGGGTGTCAAACTGCCGGCCCATGGGCCGGACGCGTCACATGGAAGCCGCGCCCACCCCATTGCCAGCAATGGCAAAACCGGCCCGATACATTGTGCAACATCACGTGACATTGCGAGTTTGATATGACTGGTATAAGCTCTCTCTCTATAGCTATTTTTAATGTTTAAAAGTCACTGAATTACCTTATTAATCATATTCAATGTGCATTCAAAGACAGCATCAAATATCTGAGGTATTTCAGCAGTAATATGCCCCCCCAATTTGTTTACTATGATAGCCATTGTACTAAGCACTTCCGGCTCTCTGGCAGCTGGAACATTCCTCTGGTAATCAATAAGAACGGCATCCAGCAAAGGTGGAACAAAGTTTTCAGCTACCTAGGAAAAAAAACAAAACACCAACGAAGAGGGTTAATCCAACATTTCTTCAATTTTGAGCTGCTTGCATAATGTGTTAAATCATAGTATGTTCAAAGAATAGTCAAAAGTAATATGTAAATAAAGCACAAAAATAAACTAGTTTGTAGTCGATTTAAAGAATCAGTAAGACTTGTGTGCAATCCTAAAGATGTGATAAATTCTTGAGCATACAAAAAATATGCCAGAATGATTTAAGTAATGAACCATTTCAGATGAATTTCTATTTCTCACCTTCCTTTATTTCTGAGGGTCTTATTTTTAAACAAAAGAATTGAGAAAAGGAAATAAACTTCCCTTTCCCCATGCCAATGGTCTAAAATCAAGATACTCCCTCCCCCATCAATAAAACATCATAAAGGCAGTTGTAATATTTGCTCTCAGCAGGGAAAGGTGGTGAGATAATAAAGGAAAAAAGGTGTTCTAAGATCCAAACAAAGCATCACAACTGGGAGCATTCTCTTGGAATGTTTTGAGTGAGTTATGTGTTCCAACAGTATAAACAGAAAATATTTTAATTGTTGATATGCAGATGAGACTAGTTTTTTGTTTTCCAAACCAGGACCAAAGCCATTGGTGAAGGGCTGAATACTACCATATCTCAACTATTTGTTTGGATTTAAACATTTCTTCAGAAATAATCCCCTTGGTATTTTTTTTAAAAAAGTTTAGACTACTACTAAAACTGAGAAAGCTAGATTTTGATTAAAGTTCCCATTGTTTTCTCTGAGGGAACTCTGAAAGCAATGTGTAATGAAATCCCATCTGTCCTCAACTTGAGACAGAACTCCAGAACCCAGATTTGTTCTGAACTAAGAATATGAGATGTTCTGTAGAACCCTAGGGCAGTCAAACTGCTGCTACTATTGCAACCACAGCATCTAACACTTGAAGGGTGTTTCCAAGGTCAAGGTAAATCTCCTACTAGGGTTAATGTTAAGTCAAGATTGTGTGTCATGCAAATGTATCCTCCATTTTCATAGTCTATTAAGGTCATTGCACTTACCATCTGAGGATCATTAGATCTGCTCACCCAACCAGAAATGAGTTTTAAAGTTTCCCTTTTTACTGTTCTCATACTTCTAATCAGAGGTTGCTTTGTTACCATTTCACCTGGAAGAGTTTTAAAGTCAATTACAAATCAAGAATAGCCTTGGAAAAGCAAATTGATTTGGAAAGTTTTAGCTCAGCTTTTCAAAAAAAAAATCAACAAATTAAGGAATATGAAAAAAAATCCAGAACCAAATAATAACCATTAAATAATATTAAAATTCAAGATGCTGTACCAGAAGGCTTACAAAATCTTTCTATAGTTAGTAACCTTTCTATAAAGACAGAAGATGCCCCAAACCTACATGGTATCTTGGTATCTGCCAAGTGTACTACATTGTTAGCAGAACACAGGTGACTCAGCCCTTGATCTCTAAGGCATGATTACTGAACAAGCAAACTCATGTTTTTATAATTACAGAAAGTCTATAGCAGATTATTATAATATATACATTCTGATTGAGTGTAAAAATATTCTAAGCTTTAATTGACTATGGAAATGCTTCTGATGCTTTATCACTGAAAAACCTAGTCACAGGATTACTTACATCCCTTCTCTCATGTGCCATGTAACTCTGTTCCATCTCTAGCACTTGAGGTATTTGTATGCATTGACCCCCTAGCTATGGTTAAGTATATGAATTGAAAATCTTTGTGTTGGGTGTCAAGACTGATTTGCCCTTTCAATGGCCTCATTAAGGAATGTAGCAGTAATTGGGTTGTATGTAATAATGTATATGTATGTTTATTGTTGTTCCAGGTCTACCCTTCTTCCAGGGGTCAACATGTGAAAACTGATTCGCTCTTTCACCTACATTTTCTCCCTCGCTCATAGCTTGACAAAAAAGGGAAGTGGTTGTGGAATGTAATGCAAAGATGGGGGGATGGTATCTAGGCAATCTTTGGAAGTTTGCAAGGACATCCAACTTTATTGTTATTGTTATCAAGTTTGGCTGTTTTCTCATAACAAAATGAACAAAAGTGATTGGTGAACGCATTGGGCTCTGGGTGGCTCAAAGGAAAATGGGGAAATAACTATGCCTGTGTTTGGGTGGGAAATCAGAGCTGGTTTCGCTTCTTTTGTGCCAATGTAGATTTTCAGTAAAGTATTATACTCTTGGTAAAATTATGTCCCAGGAGTTTCTTTTTCTGGAAATGCCAACCAGACAGTTCACATTGGGTTCTTGGAGAACTACAAATTTTTACTGTCACAGGATGGAAGATTATTTAAATAATCTTAAATTTGAGTTCAATTTAATTTTATTTTGGGTCCACTCAAACTTTTTTTGAAATAAGGTCCAAGCTTGCTGTTAAGTACAGAAAAAATTGTTTTCCCTTTTTTATGCTCAAATGAGCTTGGGTGTTTCAAACGTAAGCCATTTTGATTGTGAGTCTAAAGTACTATTTTCAACAAAGAAATTATGCTGCTGCGTCTTAAGTTACCAAAATATGATTTTATATTTAACACTTATCTTTATATTACAATGGTCCCTTGTGTGAAGGTATTTAGGTTCTGCAACAACAATTCATCATCGGGTAGGATCATATTCATGTCAATAAAGTTTATTCATCCATCACAAATACAACCCCTTTTTTAAATTTGCTCTATATACTTTTACTCAATCATCCTAAGATTTGTTTTGTTTCTCTTTTACGTTATAAAGTCTAGTTCATTTTATTCACATGATAAATAACCAAGTAAAAAGATCCAAAATATTATTGTAATTAAAGTAGTCATTCTTACCATTTGCTTGAATAGCTGCAGAAATGTTTTCACTTAGGCACTTATACACATTCAGCATATCTAAGTAGATTCTTCCAAGCTGAATCACAAATGGATGTCCAACCGCTTTACATGCCCTGACATTAGTTTTTAGGATACTTCCCAACTGCTTAACTGTTTCAGAGTCTTTAAGAATATCAACATTCTGTTAAACAGAAATTTGTGCATTTAGCAAGCAAAGCAACTCTTCATCTAATAGTGTATAAAAGTTAATGCTGTAGTTCAGTACAGATCAATTACTAGTATGTTACTAGTTAACAATTCAAGATGCAGGTTTTGACCTTCAAAGCCCTATGTAGCATGGGACCAAATTATCCCAATTACATTTGCCTGTCCCACCAGAGGGAGCATGTTGAAGGTCCCATTGTCTAGGAAGCTTTACTTGGCAAATCCTAGGCAGCAGGCCTTTTCTGCTGTGGCCCCTGCATTTTGGAACATTATTTTCCCCAGAGTGAGGCTAGCTTTATCCTTCTTAAATTTCCAGACATGCCAAGACCTGGTTGTGTCATCTGGCTTAGGGGGCCCAGGGGACTGGTGCAATATTTGTAATATTGCTTTTCACCTAATATTTTTTTTATTTTTGTGCTTTTTATAATTTTAAAATTTTAGTAATAATATTAATACTTGTTGCATATATGGTTTTTAGCTTTGATGCACACCATCCAGAGTAACCTGTTTGTGAGATGGTTGGCCATTTAAATATGACAAATAGGTAAATAAATAACCTGTAATGCAATAGTCCCATTTCATTTTATATACAGACAAAAATATTGGTTACATATGTATTTTAGTACAGAGAGAACCACACAAAATTAATTATTTAATGTTTTAATAATAAAACAATTCCCATAAAAATATTTGCTATTCACCAATTTTTTCTTGAAAGCAAAACAAATCATACCCAACTTAATCTTCACAAGAAATCAATATTTTCTGAAACTATAATCATGCCTGCAAGGAGTATACATATTATGAACGCTTACTTTTGTAGCTTGTTGAATTATGCTGTCCCATACTTGATTAGGTAGTAACATATATTTCTCTATTAAATGCTCTTGTACTGTCTGGTCAGTCTGAGCACCAATCATGTATCCAACTGCTTCATAAAAAGTATGTACCTAAACAAAGAAAAAGCATACTAAAATAAGTAATTGAATATGTTTGGAACTGAATAACAATTTCAATAAAACTGTTAACCTATAAGTTTCAAATTTTATGCTTCTTTTCTGTTTTAAAATCTTTAGATTTCTATTAATGCAATTTACTATTCAATAAAGAATGGATCCAAAAAGTATATTCTAGAGGCAAAAGGATATTTTCCAAGATTTAAAAAATAGCCTTATTGATGCCCATGTTTTTGCACATTCACTTATTCTAGGTATTTTTGCAATATCATAACTTGATATTACCTGTTGCGGCTGAAGATCACAAATAATTGTGTTAATATTGTTCAGGATCTCATCAATGAATGGCATTACTTCTCCAACTTGAACTTGAACAAAGTGCCTTCGACATTTTTGCGCTATTTTTATAAAAGTATCACAAGCCATGTCCTGGACTCCATCATGAGTTTCTAAAGAAAAAAATGAGAAATAGTTGCTGTTGTAAGAATGCTTTGTGAAGGTATTTCCCAATTGTTCATATACTGAATTTCTTCAGATTGATAAATGAAAAGCACACAGTAATAAGTTTATTTCTTTTCTATAAATGTAAGTAGAAATAGTTCTAAAAACCCATCTATTATGATATTTAATAGTAAAGCAGTAACTGTTACTGATTTTAACATCATTTATTATTATACAATCCAAATTGAATTCTAGATATATTACCATGCATAAATTCAAATAGCTTGTTGACGACAGTCTTCAGAAATTTCCAGTGGGCTCTCAAAAATCTTGGATATTGTCCTACTATGTACATTATATTTGATGCAATAATAGCTTTATTATCTTTTCCTCTTTTTTGTTCACAGAGTCCAAGAAGATCCTACAGAAACACAAGATTCATAAGAAGTTCCATTTTTATTTATGATAAAAACTATGTTAGAGCAGCATTGCAGAAAAAATTAAAAAATAAGGTAAAATAAGTGAAATTAAATGCTTGTAAATGAATAGCTGAGACAGCATCTTGTAATAAATGCTGTAATTATACAAAACATGAAGACGTTTTTCTTGATACTCTGACTAATTAATGTAGCACCAACAAAGAATATATAGTATGACAAATCCTCTCCTGAATAACTAGTAACAGAAGTCCATCATAATGAAAATTTCAGTAAGATACCAATTAACCAACTGAAGATTTCAGACGTAATAAAAAGTACACCAGTGAAATAAATAAATAAATTCAACTGAACCTAATAAATATATCAGTTTTAGCATAAAAAGATGCTTGAATAAAAATGTTCTAAGTTTCATTAATATACCAATTAACCAACTGAAGATTTCAAATGTAATAAAAAGTACACCAGTGAAATCACACCAATAAAACACCACAGCAAACAAATTCAACTGAAACTAATAAATATATCAGTTTTAGCATAAAGAGATGCTTGAATAAAATTGTTCTTGCTTCCTAGGATAACAACACAGAGAGAAAGCCTCACAGAAATTCCAAAGACAAAGAGCAGTCATCAAGAGGACTCTGCCAGTTTTGTTCCCAACAAGTGGACCAGCCCTGCTTGAACAGTTTAATAGAGAATATACTCTTTCCAGCAGCTTGTGTCTGAATAATGAATATCGAGTAAAGGAATTTTTTTAGAAGACGCTCTATCCTATATAGCTACCCCTTGTTTAGTTGTTATGTTGTTTAGTGGCTGTTCATAAATAGGATGGTAATAGGGGTTTTTTTTTAATCCAAATAATGTGCACTTATAGCCAAATTTGTGCCTGAGAACAATATCACTGCCACTGTTGCATGGGACAACTTTATCTCAATGAGATGGCTACAACCAGTGAACTTTGCAACATCTCTGTCAGTCACTGCTTAGTCACTATTTCACTTTCAATTTAGGGAACTAAATGAGGTGGCTAAATAAGGAGATGGTCTATTTGGACTTTAAGGCATTCAAAGTGCTGTTTACCAGTGAGGTTGTAATACTGGTGTTTGACTTTCATGAAAAGAACACCAACCAACCTTTTCAGGATTTAAGCCTCATTAGAAGTTCAGAGTTTCCTGATACAGCTGAGTATTTGCAAAATTGTCTTACCTTAATTTTCTTTTTACAAAAGATAAAGTTCCCTGAGAAGCTACTAATGACTGTATGTATTGCTATACCTTTATTACTGTTACAAGAAACCTCTTCTCATCTTCTTCATGCATTGCTCCACTTATTGAACCTATAGCCCAACACAGGGTGTTGAGATTTTTCCATGACCATTCAGTACCATTTACTTGATTGTGAAGTTTCTCTGTCATTATTCGTTCAGTATCTGCATAATCCAGATGGGTAAGATAAACTGGAAGAAATAATGTAAGTAAGTTGATAGTACTAGGAATGCAGAATATCATTTTCCACTAAGATTTAATGAAGTATCTAAAGTGAATTGTAAAATTTGCTAATTTTTTTCAGAGTTGAGGGAGACCAATACAAACTATAAACAATCATAATAATAAAACTCATAAACACCTGTAACAAAAATTTCAACCTACAGAATCATGGCTAAAATAAATTTGTTTATTAAAATAATATAACCTATGCACTGGCTTTGCTTGTGGCTGTCAATGGAAAAACAATTTATCTCTTCCTATAAACTGTAATAGTATAAATTTTCACATTTTATTTTGGGGATTTTTTTTTGTTAAGAAAGCAGAATGAAAGGTAATAATCATGCAAATATAATTTACCCAGTGTTTCTCTCATGTTCTTGTACAAGTTGATAGAGTCTGTATCTTTCATAAATTCTCGAACAACTTCTCCTTGATCATTTTCTACAACAAGTACTTCTTCTGGTTTTGCCATGCGGCTAACCATCAACAATCGCACCTATATATATTTTTTAAAAAACATAGTATGTAAATAAGATTTTCACATCATTATTTAACTGATAGGCCAGATGAGGCAGAGACCATCTAATGCTGCGAATTTATTGTTGATTATTGCAGTAGAGAATTTGAAAATCAAATTACAAACTTGATGTGCATTTACAAAATGCTGATACTATTCCTTAATATAGACCAGTGGTGGCGAACCTATGGCACACGTGCCAGAGGCGGCACTCAGAGCCCTCTCTGTGGGCAAGCGCGCCATGCCCCGGAGATGGCAACCGTCCCTCTTAACCAGCTGCCTGCTAACTGGCCGAGGTCTCACATGGCCGGATGCATCCCAGCACCCATGCACTCGCTGGCCTCTGTGTGCAGGGGCCGATGGTGTCAGGCAGCAGTCACCCTGGCCTCTGCCTCACCTTTCCCTGTGACAATGGCATCCCCATCCTGCCTTGCCTCACCTGGCAGGACGAGCCTCCTGCACACCGCCCCACCTGCTAGAGACCCCCTGGATCTCCCCCAACCCTGCCCGGCCCCCAAACGTCCCTCTCCACGAGCAACATCGAGGTGATCACATCCACATTGGCCACACCCACCCAATCTGCCATGACCACAGCCATGCCCATCCAGTGGGCCACGCCCACCTGGCAGCCAGCGATAAATAAGTGGGTTTTGGGTTGCAGTTTGGCCACTCGATCTCTAAAAGGTTCGCCATCACTGATATAGACAAATGTTTTTCTTTGTAATGATAAAAAAAGGATATTCCTATGAAAAGCAACCAAAAACCTCATTTGCTGTGACACAAAATTCATACAGCCGGAATCATTAACATTTACTAGTGGGTGGCTGTGTACTTGTGACTATCACACTTACAACCCCATCAGGTTCTTTTCCACCTCACTTATTTAAATATTATTGTCTTCAAATATTTATACAGCTCTCAAACTTAAAACATGACTCTGGGCAATGTACAGCATTAAATAACAATATAAAGACAAAAAATGTACATCACAAAAACAAACTAAAACAATTAAATGACCTTCAGAACTAAAACTGATTATATCTTTTCAATTGGGAATTCTATTCATCTTGACAGGGAAAGATCCAAGTCTCGGCTGCCTTTAAAGGGCTATGGGGTTGTGATCAACTGTAGTATTGGGGGAATTGGAAATGATTGTTCCACAGGAAAAGGGCCACCACCAAAAAGAATGCCCCCTGTATCTCACAGGTGACATTGCTTCAGGAACAGGGAGTATGTCTTTTCTCTTGGGAGTGTGTGGGATAGGCAGATATGCTTGAAAAGGCAACCTAACAAATAAACCAATTCAATGCCATGCAGGACTTTATAGGTGATAATCAGCATCCTGAATTGCACCTGGAAGCCTATAGGGACGCAGTACAGTTTGCAGAGTAGAAGTGTTACATATGTATAATGATGAAATCCCATTACTACTGCATTCTGAAACAAATGAAACTTGTATGGTTTTCAATGACATCCCCATATAGAGTATGTTGCAATAATCCAATTGAGAAGTGACTAAAGTTTGAGCAATCATGAGCAGGTCCTCCCAATTCAGGAAAAAATATAGTTAGCATAGCTGTATAAAGATCTCCCTGATTATAGCATCACTAGCTCTTCAAGTAGGAGTTATAAGTCTAGAAGCCCCCCCCCCCAATTGTACACAACATACAAGTGGAGTAGCAAATCACCATCCAGAGTCCAAGATAACATGTATCTCCAGAAACCTATAGCTACTACCGTGTTTCCCCAAAAATAAGACCTATCCTGAGAATAAGCCCTAGCTTGATTTTTACATGTGTGCCTAATATAAGCTCTACCCCCAAAATAAGCCCTAATTAAGACCCTGCCCATTCTGTCCCCCCGTCTGTACGAAATGGGGTAAGGCGCATGGGTAAAAATCAAGCTAGGGTGAGGGTGGAACTGCCTCACGCATCCTCTTACCTCAGGACCACTGTAGCCAGGCCTCCCACGCCCAGATACCTGCATTGCTGCTGCCTGACTTCTTCTGCAGCCGCTTGGGGCCATTAGCAGCAAGTGGCCGCATGGCACCGGTGCCGCCATTCGCTGCAGGCCGCCGCATAGTGCATTGTGCCAGTGCTGCTGTTTGCAGCAGGCCGTGCGGTATGCTGTACCGGTGCCATTGCTCATGGCAAGAGGTTGTGTGGCATACGCAAGTGGCGGCATCGGCATTACATGCCACATCCTGCTGCAAGCGGCAGCCCCGATGCAAAGAATCATGTGGCTTCCTGCCGCGAGCGCCAACAGAAGCCAGGCGGCAGTGCAATAGATGTTGGGGCATGGGAGACCTGGCTGCGGCGGTCCTGAGGTAAGCGGGTAAGACATCCCCCGAAAATAAGACCTAGTGCTCCTTTTGGAGGCAATTTTTTTTAAAGACCGGAGCTTATTTTCAGGGAAAACACGATAAGTCGTAGCAGGGCACTGCAGTAAACTCTTTCATACTTATAGAATGTATAAATAAACTGGAGTTTACTATTACCTTAGACAGGACAGGCAAATAAAGTTGTCTCCTGGGAGGAACATCAAAATGCTGAGTGCCTGATAGCAATGGAGAAGCTGATGTTGAAAATGGACTCTCCCTATATAATTCAGCAGCCAGATGATTCCAATACTCCAGACAAATCTTGAAGATTTCAGTTTCTTCAACTTCAGATACCAGCAACATGTAATGGAGAGCCTAATATAAATTTATTTTGGAGCTTAATTAATAAAAGATTTAGAAATTGCTCAGATTATTGTAAAGCATCCCTAAAATGAAGTAGTTTGTTTATTTATTTATTTATTTATTTATTTATTTATTGCTTATATTTATATCCCGCCCTTCTCCTTGCGGACTCAGGGCGGCTAACAACCAGATAAAAACTACAAAATACCAAAACTACAGTTAAAACATGATTAAAAGACAAATATTAATAATTGGCCTAAGTAATTTAAAATTATTTTAAAACCCCCACTAAAAATTTCCCCTAGGCCAGTCCTGCAAGCTGAAATAACCATGTCTTAAGGGCGCGGCGGAAGGAAGGGAGATCAGGGATCACCCTGATCTCTGGGGGTAGCTCATTCCAGAGGGTGGGAGCTCCCACAGAGAAGGCCCTCCCCCTTGGGGTCGCCAGCCGGCACTGTCTAGCCGACGGTACCCTGAGGAGACCCACTCTGTGGGAGAGTTATGAAACTGCTCTGAAATTGTACCTACAACCTTCTCCAAAAAGAAAATTAAAAAATTGCTGAAACTGAATACATGAAAATCTCATAGAATTCCAGCATTTTTTTCATTTTGTCATTTAAGTTATTGCATTAAATTGCAAATCACTATAGATGAGGCGAGTGAACAGAAAAGGCTGTTTCTGCTCTAATCTGTCTGTATTTACCTTTTCAAAAACTACCAACCAACCAATCAACACCAATTAATAGTTTATCCACACCAATCACTAAAAGCAACAGAAAAATAAAAAGGACCATGTTCAGGTGAAAGAATTCAAAAATCAGGGCAGGCAGTTTCATTCATGCATTCAATCAAGTTACTTATAAGCTGCCTAATCATAGAAGTGCCTCCAGGTAATGTACAACATTAAATGAATTCAATTTAAAACAACAAAGGAAAAAAATAATTCAAGAAATATGGAACCATGTTGGGGAAACAAAACAACTGCACAATCAATCAAAATTAAGACAATATTTGAAGAGTATCCACAAATTAATCTATCACAAGATCAATGCAAATTTTGTGAAGAATGCTATTATCAGAATGCAGAGGCAACCACAAAGCAGAAGTCCCATATGACATCACTTAATTGGAGAATGGCAGTCCTGTAGGTTTCTAGGCTCTGAGTCATGCAGAGGTTTACAGATAATAGTCAATATCTTGAACTGCTAGAAGCCAGCAGGTAACCAGAGCCGAGACTCTGCATATAACTGCAGTGGGATGTAAATATGATATAAATAGATAAAATAAATTTGTGCCACTGCATTTTGGACTAAGCTCTGGTTTCCAGGTGGAATCCCATGTACAGTAGTCCAAGTGAGAGGTGACTAAGTCATGAGTGACTTGGAGAAGGACATCCTGATTATGTACCAGATGCATCTATGCAAACATTATTCAAGCTGTTGTTTCAGTTGCTTGTTGAGTAAAGGCAGCATGACTCCCAAATCATGAGCAAAATTTGTATAGCAAAGTGCATTTCCATCAGTAAAGATGGAGATTCTCCAGAAATATAAGGTGATTGAATCCAAAATAATTTGGTCTTTTCATTGTTAAGTTTCTTCCCACCCATAATCTAATAGCCACCTAATGGCAATGGGACAGATTCACCACAATATCACCTAATATCTGTATATTGATGTCTGGCCCCATACTAATATTATTTCATCTATTGCCTCATGGGGAAAATGCTAATCCCCGAGGAACTGCACAAAATAAGGGTTAACTGCCATCTCTACAACACCATCACAACTGTCCTGGGAGATAAGGTTACCACAGTGCCTCCCATGCCCAGGGATGCTCCAACAGGATTCCATGACTGATTGTATCAAAACCAGATAAATGAGGTATTTTCAGGAGACTTATATCTCCCTTATCTGAGGCCCATAAGAAGTGTCTGCAAGCATAATCAATGCTACCAGCTGCATATAGTCCTATGTGCAATCCCAGATTTTGCCTTTAAAATTTGAAAGCAAAATGGCTTTTGTACAATGTTTGTATCTCTTCCTGTAAACTAAGTTCTTATACTATGAAGCTAAATGCATTGTTTTCATCTTAGGATAGCCCATCCCCTCTTCCAAATCACCAAACAATCAAATACCTTAACTCTGTTCATCTGGTAATACATTTCAGAGAGTGTTTATCTCTGAAACACTCAGAGATAAAAATATCTTAAAAAATGAAAAAGGTGACAGCCAGATTTTTTTTAAAAAAAGTTTACAATTTCTTATGCACAGTTACAGTATCTGCACTGATCAGGTAAAAGATAAATATCTGGACTGGAACAATTGCCAAGTTGACAGAAAAATACTTGAGGAATTGATTTTTGAGGTTTCCTACTCACGGTAGGGCTGCCATTGTGGTTGATTCCCAGCTCTCAAGTTTTAATCAAACTTATGAGATAGAGAGATAAACTAAAATGAAATAGAAATAAGCAACCTGGTCTATTTTATATATTGTCATCAAACCAAGTTTTAGTATTTGTTCCCCACATCTTCAATTTGACATAGATGTGAATAAAAATAAAAAGGAACTTACTTCCATTAACGTTTCTCTCAGATTTAAACGTTTTTCTATAAGTTGGCCATGCTCTTTTAAAAAGGTACAAAGAAACAAGCTGAGGTTCTGAATGAAATTCTGTTCATCATCTTTTCCATTGGAATATGCTAGTCGAATATTTGTGTTCAAAGGAAGCATCTAAGAAAAGTAAAATGTAGTTATAATTTTGAACAGTTAAGTCCTGTCATTATAAAACATACATAAACAAAGACGTTGTATTTATTTCCCAGAGCAGGCTTTCTCAACCTTTCTATCTTGGAGGAACCTTTGACAAAATTTTCTGATCTCAGTAAATCCTTACATAAAATTTGCAAAAAATATGAAAACTTCCCATATATAATTCTCTTCTAATCTACAATCCGTTTTACAATGATTACAACAGCAAAACAGCAGGTTGCCACTGAGTGTCAGAGCATTAAAATTTGAGCACTAGCATTGCACGGTGTATAAAGGTCAAAAATGTATTTTTTAAAATCACAATCTCCCATAGAACCCCAGTTAAGGAAGGCTGCCCTGGAGTTATAAAATACTTCCTAACCAACTTTCATCTGAGAAACTCATGAAAATTCTCATCTATACACAAAACTAGACTTCAAAGGTAGTATAACACTTCAGAAATGACAACTAATATTTTCACACATTGTAACAAAGCTCTGCTTAAATATTCTGATTTATTTTTCTTTGGATTAAAGCTATAAATAATTCAACTGAGAGGAATAAAATTTCAGTCCACTTGCAAGTCCCACATGTATTTTCAGCTAAAGATAGCATACTATTCAGAGATATAATGTTAAGGCTGATTTTGAGCAGATTAACCATTCAAATGTATTCCTTTTATTGTGCCTATTATTACTGAAACCTGAGTACAAGAGTTTCTCTGTTGGAAATCTGCTCACCTAGTTTTTGACATGTGCAACAGATGCAGTTCCTAGACAGGCAACAGGTAGGGAGGAGTTGTAATCTGAGACTTAAGATGTGCTACACTACAGATAATTGGAATAAATTCGGCTGGGCTAGAGGCCAGTTTGGTTTGCTGGTTGTGCATTACTGCTGCTACTGTTATCACCTATTCCTGAGCTTGCTTGATTGTTATGATGGTGGAGTTTTCCCAGATACAATAATGGGGGACTTGAACCTACCTTTCTTCAGCAGGTGGTCTGGAGTGGTTCCGGAATTCATGGCTGCTATGGCAATCATGGCATTGACACATGAGAGACCTCACACTATGGAATTTTGTAGTGCAACTCCCCCCTGCAGCAGAGGAACACCTATTAAATCAGCCTGCTGCAGCTGTCTTATGGATTTTGTGGCTTTTCAGAGGTCTTTTGATGAATTTCCCAAGGATTTGATGGGTCATTCGGATGAACTTCTGGTCATCTAATGGAATAAAGGTCTCCAGAGTGTTGGACTGGATTGTACTGGAGGGGCATCTCTTGTTGGCAGATTCATAGCAGCTCACTGGTTACTGAGCAGTTTAGGTAAATCAAGTAGCAGAAATGCCTAGAATGTCCCTGGGGGAACATCTATCTTCAGTCTGATCTGTACAAGCATAAGCTTACATTGGTGTATATATAGCAGTGATTCAAGCAGCAAAAAGGAAGCATTTTACTAGTTATGACACTGGGTTAATGCTACCCTTTGGCCTTTTTTAAGATGACTCCATCTCTTCAATAGAAAAATATTCATCAAGACCATTTGAAGAATCACTGTGAAGAATTCTTGCAGCATTTGGCAGACAAAACCACTCATAAACATGAAGAAGAACTGGATTCCAGCTGGACAGCACCTGTAGAGATGACTGGGGTCTTGTCTTATGAAGTAGAATTATTTTATGTCTGTGAGTCCCAAGACAGTGGATGGGATCTTCATGGTTGGTCAAGGCCTCCCATGAGTTGGCAGATTGCCACCAGTCAGTAATCAAGCCTTCTTTCCTGTCACCTCTAATCAAGATGTAATAAACCCCCTGCTCAAGTTTTGCCTAATTTTGGATCTATAGCAACCTTCAATAGCCCTCTTCTCTTTGGAACTCCGTCCTATTCAATTGGCCCTGTCCCACTTAGATTTTAGTAAAATCATTTTCTAATTGCACTGGAGAAGGGTATTCTAATTGCAGCTGGGGTTCACAGGCACATAGTGTTTATATTTTTTTATATGAATATCTTCGTTATTTTATATATTTATAAACTATCAAAGTCTTCGGAAGTGAGTGGCACACAAGCAAACTCAATCAATAAAATAACTCTCCATGCATCAACACAATTATATTTCTGATTATTTAACTAAAATGACATGATGCTCTTAAGTTAACTGACTGATCATCCTGTGGAATCCCAGGAAATGCTAGCTATTAAAGCTTAGTTTATGAATAAAATCTGCAACAGCCCAGAACAGAATTGTGATTAAAATAGGTCCCCGAAGAATAAAATCTATCCAAGCTGGTAGTCTGGGACACTCTGTAAAATTTCTTGAATGGATACATCAATCTTTGAACTAGGAGAACTTCTAAGTGGACCAGATGCTACATAAGTCAGAGGTAACAATTTCCAATGACAGAATTTCAGCAGATTGTGAGTAGGAACTGTACCTAACAAGCTATCTGTGGTTAAACATGGCTATAAATTCTGGTAGTAATTGATAGTAATTGCAATAATAAGTAAGGTTAATGTCAATAAAATAGTTCTAAATGAAAGGTGGAATAGAAAAATAATTTCGTAAAACATTTTAAATGACACAGTCCTGACTTTTTTGAATGGCATAGGAACTTAACCCCTTACAATTTTTTTATTTATAAATCAAATTTATATAGCTATCCATTCATAAGAAATGATTCTGGGTACCATACAAATTCAATTAGGAGTTACACTCTGAAGCATTTTAGGGCCAAAAGGACCTCAGGTCTTACATCAAAGTCCAGCCCAAAACTAATGATTAAATCCTCTCAAGACAGAGTCTGAATACAGCCCATATATTACCATGCACGTAACATTTTGTACAGTTATTAATGTGTAATTGTGTATTAAAGCCTTTGCAGTTTGTCAGGATTTTAAAAAAGGCTTCTATGGGGAAAATGCTTTTAAACAAGCCAAGAGCAGCTTATTCAATGTGAGCAGGAAAAATACAAGGAAACCTGCTATTTATTTAACAAGCAAATAGAAAAGATCAATAGTTGAAGGTGGAAGTTACCTGTTTCAACTGCATCATGGTTAAAGTAAAGAGTGTGACAAATTGTTCCTCATACTGACTCACACTGACACCAGCAATTTCTGTCAGGCACTTCAATGAAACATTTCGGAACATAGGAACATTTAAAAACTATAACAGAAGAAAAAACAACATAAGCTGCAATGTCTTGTTCATTAGGCAGTCAAGAACTAATTTTTGCTCTCAGTAAATTAATCTACATATAGCAAATACTCACTTTGTATATTAATGTACTGATCAATTTGGTCTCAAAAATATAGCCCAGTGGAATCCAGTTGAGAAATCGAAGTAAAGTTTCCAATGTCGCATGAACAAGAGGAGCATTTTGAGAGTTCTCCTATTAATAAAATGATATGTGAGCAAATTCACCTATATTGTGAAGTGGTACCTTACAAACAACAATTATATTATAAAACTTACCATCACAAATTGACATAGCTGAAATATCTGTGAGAATTCATTGCACATGCTAGTAGCAAGAAAAAACAATCAAGTTTAGTATTAGGCAATTTATTTACCACCTTAATATATAGGACTAAAGTGGAATATAGATATTAATGCATTTCACATAATATAAGTTACGTTCACGTGAAAAAGTAAATACACCCCATGTAGAGTATTTTTTTAATGTATGGGGACATGGCAATATTTTATTTTCATTCAAACAATATACAATGATAACATTAATCAATCCCCAAAGACTCTTTGGAATAGTCTTTGTAAGCATCCAGGAGCTCATAAATGTGAATCACCCTCACCTTGGATGGGCGAGTTGTTATTGAGAAGGGGAGTCCCAACAGAGAACTCCTGCCGTCTTGTCTACTCCCACTGCACCTAATGACATGAGGGGCCCTTCAGCAGGGATTCTCTAGCTCCGTGCTGGGGAACCTGTGGCACACAGAGCCCTCTCTGTGGGCACGTGTGCCGTCGCCCCAGTCCTAGGCCTTCAGCTGGGTTTTATAAAACCTTTTCACTTTAGGCCTTCGCCGCCATGTGCAAAAAAAAAAAAAAGAGGTTCAATCAATCAATCAATTTCAACTTCTCGCGGGAAAAAAAAGATCTCGCAAAGTTGGAATTGACTGATTGAACTTTTTAGTCCCACCCAGTCTGTTGTTACTACTGCAGCCACGCCCACCCAATGGGCCACACCCACCCGGCACCCAATGATACATAAGTGGGTTTTGGGTTGCAATTTGGGCATTCAGTCTCTAAAAGGTTTGCCATCACTGCTCTAGCTGTTTGTTATTATCATGCCATATTATTGCTAATACAATAATTAAATATGAATTAAATGACAGAATAAACATTTAAGCTACCTTTTAAAATAAAAGCTTCAACTTCTACAACTTTAAAATAATGCAAACAGTTAAATTACAAAAGGATGCTTATGAAATCCTTATAAATATATTCAAGACAAAGACAGTGATTAGAAATCAGTTCAACAGTCTATATGTATCCATAAGAAACTGGAAATCTCCAGCTGTTAAATCTAAAAAAATGACTACCCCTTTTCTCCCCAAAAAGTACGGGTATAGATAAAACTGGCAGAATCACCAAACAAAATTCTGCACCTTCACCAAAGATGCAGAATGATTGCTTACGTAGAAAATTCTGGACAAAATAGAGCAAGGCTCATCTCATTTTTTAAGTGAGGCAGCTCAGCTACTATGGAGTTGTTTGGACATGTATCTTCTTTGGCACAGGAAGGTAAGAGGTGGACAAACTACTTTTGTCTATGACAGAGAAAGTGGTAAATAACGGCTCCTTGGAATCAAGGAACAGAATTAAAAAAAATGTATCTTAACTGATACTACTTTCTTATGTTCAAGGTTCTTAACATTAGGTGAAGAATTTGATTTGCCTTTCATTACAATTCAGAATTGCATTTCTGGTATATCCCTTATATTAATCACTTGCCTGTCCTTTAAATGTTTGGCTTTCACTTGAGTTATTTGTCCACTGGAAAAATCAAAAACTTCTTCACTCAATAGCTTCAAGATGACCATGTTGTTCTGGCAAAGGCTTTCACTTGTTCTGCTGGCCCCAACAATATCACTGATGAATGTTGGCCAATGTTTTGGCCATTCTTGTTTTAGTATCTGCAAAACATTAAAAGTGAACACAGTGAATAATTATTATTCCAGACTTACACTAATATATAAAGACCAGAAATTCGACCCACCTGAACAAGAATCATGTTCAATTTCCCAATGTATACTTTCTCTTTCTGAATGAGGGAGAAGGGAGAGAATGAGAAAAATAAGAAATTAAGACATATCCTATTTCATTTGCAAGGACCATCTTCTTATCCCCAAGGAACTCTTACTCACTTCAACACACGATGGATCAGAGGAGGTCTTGATAATTAAGCCAACAACGTATTTTTTGATACCTGTAGACAATAAACAATAATTAATAGTAAACAACAGCAACATAAAAAAACAGTAAACTATCATCTGCCAATTAGGTTGCATCAATCTTACATACATGCGTTCACATATAACAATCTTATTAAAAATGAAGACACTGAACTTCTGAAACTTTAGCAACTAAAAGTTTAAATGATAACTGAAAAAGCCCCAAAGGTTAAATTCCTGAAGACTGGGCATGGTAAGCCACGAAACATAATTCAATTCTTGGTAGTCACCTATTTGATCAATGGCAAACTTTTGAGAAACTATATATTCTCTCCCAAGATTCCTATGCTGCTGTACTAACTTTTCCTTATTTAACATGTTCCCCTAAGACTCTCAACTTTGAGGTCTAGTACACAGTTAAGCGTCATCAATGTTCAAGACTGTATCTCATCTATCCATATTAATCAGATATAGAGTTGGATAAGTAATTAAAACGTGTTTTATAAATCTAATTTATAAAATCTAGCAGTGCTCCAATATCTCAGGGGCTGCCACAAAGAAGAGGGAGTCAAGCTATTTTCCAAAGCGCCTGAAGGCAGGACAAGAAGCAACGGATGGAAACTAATCAAGGAGAGAAGCAACCTAGAACTAAGGAGAAACTTCCTGACAGTTAGAACAATTAACCAGTGGAACATCCTGCCTCCAGAAGCGGTGAATGCGTCAACACTGGAAGTTTTTAAGAAGAGACTGGACAGCCATTTGTCCGAAATGGTGTAGGGTTTCCTGCCTAAGCAGGGGATTGGACTAGATGACCTCCAATGTCCCTTCCAACTTTACTATTATTATTGTTGTTGTTGTTATATTATTATTATTAATTAGTGACTAAACATTTATTTCCATCAATTTATGTGCCGGCACATTTCCTTAGGACACCTATACACCCTCAACGAAGTATATTTATCATCAAATATACTTCTTCCACGAACAGTTACTATTAAGCAATTATAAAGTAACCTATTTTATAAATTTTAGAAAACACAGGGGTAGAAATCTATTCTATTATTATTTGCATTCACATTTTTTCTTCTTCTTAAGATATTAGAATTACATTTTATTTATCTGAATATTAGGGTTTGGTTCTTTTTTGCACAGTTCAGTGCCCAGATGCTTTCTGTGATAATGTTTTAGAATGTGAGTGGGTATGAATGTAGCAACCTGCCTGCAAGTTTATGTAGCCATATATTGGGGGGAAAAGAATTGTTTCTAAATTATTTCTGAAACACAGTAAAATTCTATGAGTTCCAGCTCTTGCCAACCTAGCAGTATGAAAGTGTGCAACCGCAAGTAGATAGATAGGCACCACTTCTGTGGGCACATTAATGGAGACATGAAAGGAGCCCCCAACTGGGCATCCCCCAAGCAACAGTGATGTCACTGGCTAATTCTTGGTGCTTCCAACATGAGTGAGTAAAATTCTATTCAATCTTTTGATTAACTTTTCAGCATTCTTTTCCAAGCTAGAAGACAAAAATGTCCACTAAACAGTTTCACATTCCCTTTCCAATACTGCCATTTCTTCATTATTCTCGCAGATGCAATGTCTATATACTAAATCTAGCACTGGTATGAACATTTCTGATAGCTGTAACACAGCTATTAAGAAGTCCCCTTTTATATCACAATAGATGATCCTCCTTAATTTTCCATGTGTCTTACTGTAGAACGCCATAAGCCTTGCTGCTCTTGCAGATTGTGGCACCTGTGTAGTCAGATGATCATATTATTTTGGATTATCTAATCTTAGTTGACAATTCTTCAGTTCCTATCTGCTAATCCCTTTTCCTTTTTCCATGGTTTTATTTTGTATTTTGGAGCTTTCTGTTTTTCATCAGCTTTCCTTTTTATCCCAATCACTTTTGCTTCCCCTTCTTTCTCAAGAGCAATAATTGCATTTCCTTACCAATCACAGCACCAAGCTATCCAAGAAACAAAGAAAAACTTGCTATTTACAATCATATCAATATAAAGACTCATAAATAGCCTCCCTCCACAAAGTTCCACTAAATTCTCAAAATGTAGGAGAAATCTTAACAGGGTATTTATAAGAAAAATGGAAAGAATGTTAGATTTTTAAAAAATAATTTTATTAAACATTACAATTAAAAAAAAACCAAAAAATTAAAATAAAGAAAATACAGAAAAATATAGGCATATATAAAGAAATGACTTTCCTCTTCATCACAAGTATAAACAATTTTAGCAAATTATCATTTTCTCTTAAAATACAAATTATCTCTTCTTCCCTTATCTCTTCTGTATAAATGAATCCTTAAACCTTAAAGTCCATTAAAAGTTACCAGAGATGACAACATATCTATTTTAATGTTATTTTAATCAAATAAACTAATTTTAAATTCCCTCCTTTCACAACCTGCCTGCAGAAGCTGTGAATGCTCCAATACTGGGTGTTTTTAAGAAGAGACTGGACAGCCCTTTGTCTGAAATGGTATAGGGCAGGGCTTTTCAACCAGTGGTACGGGTAACACCTGTGGTACATTGGCACCTGGCAGGTGGTACGTGACCATCCTAGAAAAGTGATAGCAAGGGAGGGAAATGAGCTGAACCGGTGGCAGCATCGCACAAGCCTGAGCGAGAGATGGCTGGAGCTGCAGGGCTGTCAGGGCTCAGCAGAAGCGCCACGATCAGTGCCGCTTTCCAGCTGATCGGCGCTTTTTCAGGGCTGTCAGGGCTCAGTGGAAGCGCCAGGATCAGCGCCAGGCTCCAGCTGGAGCTCAGCGCTGATCCTGGTGCTTCTGCTGAGCCCTGAAGCAGCACTAATCAACTGGAAAGCAGCACTGATCCTGGTGCTTTTGCTGAGCCCGAAGAAGCGCCAATCACCTGGAATGTTGCAGCATCTCCAGGGCCTTGTGATTTACATTCAGATGCTTGGCAACTGATTCATATTTATGATGATCACAGTGTCCCAGGGTTATGTGAAGTGACTAAAAGCTGCTGCAACCACCCAGCATACGGAGGGAATAAAAACCAAACACCCCCCCCACCCCACCCCTGCTGCCAATCCTCAACAGAAATGCTCACAACAATGAAAACCTCGGACAGGAGGAAGAACGCCACCGGATGGGCAGGCAGGTGTCTTGCTCGGCTGTGGCTTGGGGGGGCACTTTTTTCAGTGCCATTGTAACTTCGAATAGTCACTAAGCGAACTGTTGTAAGTCGAGGACTACCTGTACTTTATCACTCCCCCCCCCCTTTTTTTGGTCAAGTTTTTGACACCTTGCTAGGGGACTGGTGGTACTCGGATGTTGCCATATCCTAAAAGTGGTACAATGGGTGAAAAGGTTAAAAAGCCCTGGTATAGGGTTTCCTGCCTGAGCAGGGGGTTAGACTAGATGACCTCCAAGGTCCCTTCCAACTATTATTATTAATATTATTATTATTATTGATTTTTAATCCCTTCCTTCAAAAAATGTCCCAGAACATGATTTATATTCAGTTTACTTTATCTTTTTGCATTAACATTCTTCATGATTTCAACAAATCTCTTTTATATATCCTATACAGTAAAGTTATCCAAGTCACTCTTTGTTATTTCTATATCCTTTTTAATTACTAAGACATCAGCCAATTTCTTTGGTATATCCAGCTATTTTTTTCCATATCATTCTTGTATCCCTTCATTCTTAAATCCATTTTCAGATCAGTCTCAGTCTTATATGGTAACTCTTGTTCCTCTTCCATACCATTTCTTTCTTTTTTTTAAAGTATCCATTACGGCAGACACTCTTTAAATTAACTTCAGGGTCCACTCTTCACAAATAACCTTCATTGCATCCAATCTGTATTAGTAATTCAAATTTAGTCTATTTGTAACTTTCCAAAATCAGGATTCTAATTACCCTTTTGCTGTGTGTGTGTGTGTGTGGTGTGTGTGTGTGTGTGATAAAACCAATAAATATCGATCACCAAGAGGAAACTAATAAATAGTAAAAAATTTAATGAGCCGAGCTTTCGGTGGGCCCACCCAACATCATCAGGGCTTTAAAAGTAGTCACTGGGAAAGAGCTTTTATAAGATGTTAACAGCCTGCATCCGACTTCTTGAACGCGTCACCGGACCCAGCTGTTCGTGTTGTATCCTAGATGCATTACCTACATCAACGCATGATGTTTTTCCATACCTCCTCCGTATTTTACCGTAAATGTTCTCCTCGTTAACTTCAGGGGTGGAGTGAATTCTGTGTGTGGCACTATGCTCTGGGGGTGGTGGTGGTGCAGTTCTTCTTTGATCTCACTGCTAAATTCCTCCGTCCCTTACAAACGTGATCCAAGTGTGCCGTCTCCTCCTTGCCCCTATCCCCAGACGCCACCCCCATCGGATAAAGGGAGCAACTCCCAAGATCTCTGCTCATACCTTCGTCTCCTCTCACAGATGCCATAACGATCCCTTCCTCCCCCCGACCACGGGAGCCATCCTCGTTCGTAGACTGGGAATCCCTTTCCCTCTTCTAACGGGATCGAGTCATCATAGTGTGTTTACCCAATTTACTATCCGGGGTGATTTTTAAGGAGGTCTGTGGAAGTTGCTGTCGGCCCCTCACGGGGCCAGGGGATATAGCTGATTGGGGGGGTATCCAAGCCCATGCTAATCCGGTCGTGTAATGAAGCGGTAGCCACGTTTCTCTCTCGATCTGGGTACAGTCCATGCATCAATCCTCTCCGGCGACCGGGGGGCCGGTTTGTGTGCCAAATTCTTAACGTTTGTTGTGCCAGGCACATATCTACATGCCGGTTGATGGAGTCCTTCCCAGAGAACCACGCCTCTTTCAATAGTTGCCCCCCTTTGGTGGTATCACTCGCTAGGACCTGAACTCGGTCAAAATTAAAACAGTGGCCATTCTCAGCCATATGAGACCAGATCTGTGAGTGTTGCTCACCCCTCTTAACTGCCAATTCGTGTTCGTGCAGGCGAGTCTTCAACCTCTTAGATGTTTCGCCCACGTAATTACGTGGGCAGT